AAGCCCTTTGGGGCAGACACTTTATCTCCCTGGGTGTCTGTGGGTCTAGCACCATGGGCCTGGTCTTGGTTACAGCCTCTCTCACAGCGGTTCTTTGAGTTCAAATCCCCTGTCATCAGACTCCAGCCCCCCTATATAACTCCTGTGAATTGAGTAGCACCCCATTTCAAAGATGAACATACCTGTCACAGTGCTTCCCTCCTTGCAGGGGGGTGAGATTGGGGAGGTGGGGGGATTCTCCAAACAGGAATAAACCTGATCCTGTGCTTATCTGCTTATCACCTCACACCTCAGGACACCCTTCAAAAGAACTCATGGCACCCCAGGGTGCAGCCGGGCTGAGAATCGCTACCCTATGATGGTGCAAACAGGATGGGCAGACAGAAAAGCCCCTATCGAAAGCCCATGGGTGTTGACACTGCAGAGCTCTGGGGGTCGAATCTGGCTGCCCTTGGCCCAGCTTTGCAAAGGGCAGACACCAGGCACATGTGTGTCCTTCCTGCCCTCCAGCGTGGTAGCAAGGGAGTGTGTGTTGTGGGTCTCCTCGTAGAAATGACAGTCCCAGCTCATTGCAGGAGCTGTGCCACAGCCTGGCTCTGGTGTTGTGTTTGCTGCAGGGATGGGCTCGACGGGGGAGCCTCTGAGCAAAGCTGTAGCACTGGCTGTGGTGGTGGCAGTCCTTGTGCTCCTGGTAGCTGTGGCTGTGCTGGTCTTGCTCTCCAGGTCAGTGCAAGAGGGTCGGTCCTTTGAGGCATCTCCTGCCCAGTTCCCTGCTCCCCAGCAGAGACTGCCTTGCCTTAGCCCTCAACGGTGCTTGTCCCAGCCTGGAGTGGGGGCTTCACCCCATCTTTGCCCCAGATGCTGAGGGAAGCTGCAGCTGTCCATGCTCTAGGCAGGCAAGGGTCTTGGGAAACTGCCTTTTGGTCAGCTCCACACAGGCAGCCTCTCTGCTTGGAATTCTTGCACCAGTCAGGTCACCGATACCATGAATGGGTCTTGATACTGCTGAGGGCTGAGCTCCCCCCCATTGCAGTGCCTGGGGAAGGGGTGACTCAGGAGTCTGGCTTTCAGATGCAGAGCCCCTCCTATAGACTAAAACCCCAGCACCATCCAGCCACTGATGAAGAGCAATCTGGACCCCGCTGTGTCAGGGCCCTGGCTGTGATGGAAGCATTGGGGGTACCTGCTCCCCCTGGCAGCTATCACAGCTATCACGTGGGTCCATGAAGGAAGACACAACCTCAGGGAGTCTGGCCTCAGTCTGGCCTGCAGCTGTACTGGCAGCTAACGAGGGTTACACCTCATTTGTGCAGGCTAGCAGGAGGGCTGTGGAGCTGAGGCTACCTATCCCAGCATGCAGCATGGCCAGGACATTTGGGACAAGAGACGTGCCTGTGGTTTCCTGCAGGGAGCTGCCCTGGTTTATTAAAGATGATGGCTGCAAGAGCTCAGAGCAGCATCTGGCCTTGGCAGGGAGGTGTTGGGCATTGATGCTCCCTCCTTTCTTTGTCTCTTCTATGCTTTTCCATGTGTCTCACAATGCCATTTTGCAGGAGGAAGCGGAAGAAGTCAAAGGACCATGAGAGCAATGGCACGATGCCCCTGAGGAGGAGTCGAGCAGGTGTGATATGAGCAGAGACCAGTGTCAGACCTGCCTGGCTCTTAGATATGCTGGTGGAGGGGTTACCATCACAGCCAGCACAGGCAGAGCAGCTGCAGTGCCTTCCAAGGAGAAGGGCTGGTGATCCACCCTGGATGGGGCCCTTCCCATGGGGAGCACACCCAGCCCCACGCCTCCACACAGCCAGGCTCAGAGATGTGCCAACCCCTGGTTTGTGTATGCAATAGGTGCAAGCAAGCCGAACACTCAGATCCTGGTGCCCGAACTGCTGGAGACTCTGAAGAGGTTTAGGAGAGCAGAAATGGCAGCGGAGGAGGAGGCAGAAGAAGACACAGACCTTGAGAGACCTAAAGCTGGGTGCGAAGCTGAGTATCAGGTCGGTGCTCGACTTCACCATGTTTCTCTTCTGTGGTGGTAGCTTTGCTTGTGTTGCACACTCAGCTATCCTTGACCTCAGTAGCTCTCTGGCTTTGGTGCTTTGGGGTGGTGCAGTGTCCTCTGGCTTTGGCTGGGCCTGGATCCTGGCACAGCATGGCTGGGAACTGGGGGTCGCTAACCAGGAGTGTCTCCTTCCCTGCAGAAGCTGGACTCAGGTTTGCTGCATGCCTGCGATGCTGGGAAGGAGCCCTGCAACCAGGGCAAGAACCGCTACAAAAACATCATCCCATGTGAGCAGAGCTTCTCACCCCTGCGGCGCGTGGCCCACGGGCATGGGGAGGAGGCGACAGCAGCTCTGGCATTAGCTGGGCCCTGCTGGGGGTGGGTGCAATTATTTAGCTTTGCTGAGCCCTAGAGAAGAGTTTGTTTTATAAGGGAGAAGCTACAGCCATATAAACCCGGCTGGGATCCCAGCAAAGCGGAGCAGTTTGCCCATCCCTTGATAGAGGTTGGAGACCCCCAAGGATGCCTAGGTGCTGAATACAGGGGGGAAGGTGGCTCAGTAGGGATCTCTGCACCATCCCAGTCCAGGCTGGCCCCCAGGAGAGGGTCCTGGAGGCTGCTGGGCTGTGGGAGCTGCCATTTTAGTGTATATAGGCTCACCTGCCTCGCCTACCCCAGCATTAAGGCAGGTGCATCCGTGTCCCACGTCATGCTCACCCTGCTGTCCTGTCACACATTAGCTGGATGTCTGCATCTTACTTTCTTCCTGTCCTGAAGCTGTTCTGCAGTGCTGCCCAGGAGCTGCCCCAAAGGTGGCTTCCCTCCAGTCCTGGGAAAAGTGATCCCTGTGTGCATTAAGTTCAAGGCTGTGCATAGCATCACAGGCTCCCAGGGCCCCCAGGGCTCTCGCCGTCCTGCTCTGAGGCTGGGTGCGCTGATCCCGCACCGTGCGCACAGATGCCTGTCCTGCCTCTTCTGAACTTCTGAACAAAAGAAAAGGCCGAGGGGGGATCTAGTGGCCTGTTACAAACTAGTCAGGGGGGACCAGCAGGCAGTGGGGGAGTCTCTGTTCCCCCGAGCACAGCCAGGAGTGACCAGGAATAACGGTCACAAGCTGGCAGAGGGGAGATTCAGACTAGACATCAGGAGGTGCAACTTCACGGTCAGGGCGGCTACGATCTGGAACCAACTTCCAGGAGAAGTGGTGCCGGCTCCTACCCTGGGGGGCTTTAAGAGGAGGTTAGATGTACACCTGGCCGGGGTCGTTTGACCCCAGTACTCTTTCCTGCCATGGCAGGGGGTCGGACTAGATGATCTGCTAAGGTCCCTTCTGACCCTAGAAACTATGAAACCTCCAGTTAAAGGGATCCCACTGTTTCTCCAGGCAGCGTGTCCCATGGTCTTGCTGCTCATCCAGCAAGAAAGGGTTTCTGGGATTTGATCCAAGCCTGTTCTGCTGTAGTGCAAACCCAGTGCTCTAGGCTCTGCCCTCCATGTTAAGGGAATAAGGTTTCTCCCTCTTCTTTATGGCAGCTTGCAACTACTATTATTTACTTGAATAGAAGACAACCCCAATTATAAGATGAACCCCCAATAATTAGCTTCCATAGATGGAAAATTTATCAATTTGTTATAATTTTCCAGGTATGGAATTTAATTATCAGAGGTTGGCCTCTCCTTCCCATTGCTACAGCATGGAAAATAAATCTGGGCATCAGACAGGATGGAGATTTCACAACCTCTCTGGGGAACCTGTTCCAATGTGTTACTCCCCTTGTAGTGAGAGTTTTTTCCTAGTATCCAACCTCAACTTCGCTTGCTGCAGCTTGAGCCCATTGCTCCTTGTCCTGTCATCTGCCCCCATGGAGACCAGTCCAGCTCCATCCTCTTTGCAGCCCCCCTGCAGGGAGGTGAAGGCTGCTATCAAATCCCCCCTCTGTCTTCTCTTCTGCAGTCTAAATAAGCCCATTTTCCTCCTCCTCTCCTCACCAGTCCTGTCCCCCAGCCCTGAAACCATTTTCGTCGCCCTCCACTCGACTGTCTCCAATGTGTCCACATCCTTTCTGCAGTGGCAGGCCTGAAACTGGATGCAGTAATTCATGGCAGACATCCTACATGCAAACCCCAGACCCAGAAACCTTGGAGTTCAGATGCTCCCAAGTCCTACTTGTTCCTAGCCAAAAGGCTGAGGAGCAAGCTAGGGGGAAAGCACAAAAGCAGTATCCCGTGGCCACTACATGTCCAGAGTGCAAGGGACAGGCCTCATCCTATACCTGATTTTATCCCAAGAAGCCAGTACTTGCTCCTTTATGGTTGGATGGTGTTTATACTTGCCCTTCCCAATGTACCAGGGTGATTTTCAGGGTCTTTGATCTCAAGCCCTCTTACTCTGGGTTACAAAAGGGGAGAGTACTCTACAGAAGATGAATGGACTTGCTCAAAGTTACCCAGGAGGCTTGTGGCATATCAGGGAGCTGGACATGGGTCCCCAGAGCCTATGCCACTGCCTGACCGCACCTGCATACTGTCCTGAGCTTTCATGGTCTCCGTGAAGCTTTCGGGAAAGGAGCTGGGCAGGCAGCAGCCAGACACCTTGTGCTGTGCCGTCTCGGATACTGGAGATATCTTCCTGCCAGATACTCACCCCTTCCTCTGCCTGAGCAAGGCCTCCCCTCTGTGTATCACCAGCTAATTTCACCAGCACACTTCTGCATGTTGTGCTACCATCCTTAATAAAAACCTCCGTCAGCATGGCCCTAAAACTGACCCTTGAGGAAATCCACAAGTCGCCGCTCTCCAGACCAAAGCTTTGCCTTTCATCAGAGCCCATTGCTGAATCCTGTGTGGCCAGGTCCTTTCCCCACCTGCCAGTACTTGTACTAATCCATGTCTTCCCGCACCTAACTAATAATAATGGAAGGGGAACCATATTCAGTCAGCGGGTCCGGATGATCTCCACCCCAGGGTGTTGAGGGAGCTAGCTGGGGTTATTGCGGGGCCCCTGGCATGGCTCTATGAGCGATCGTGGTGCTTGGGCCAGGTGCCAGATGATTGGAAGGTAGCAAATGTGGTCCCCATCTTCAAGAAGGGGAAGAGGGAGGACCCAGGTAACTATAGGCCCGTCAGTCTTACCTCAATCCTGGGGAAACTCTTTGAGAAGATCATCAAGGA